AGCCAGATCTCGCAAGCAGAGACACACTCCTGCAAGGTGTCTGGAGCATGGGGTGACCATTGTAGGTCACTTCATGCAGAGTGGCTCATCTTTGGTAATTTTCTATTTCCTAGTCAATATTTGCCTCCTTAACTCTTGCAGAATGAGAGAAGAATCTATCCATTCAATCCCCTCCTTTAGAAATGAGTGCATTTACAGCCAAACAGAATGGTAAAGCATTTGCCCAAACTCAGTTTCTTTGGTTAATCTAGGCAGACTGCCAGTTATGAAACTGGCCATTTGTTTTTGAAGCAAATCTGCTCACCCCAGAGCTGACACTGTTAGCCGAGCTGAGGCATAGGCATTGGCGGTAACTGTCAAACTGTGCACTGCAAAATTCAAAGCCAGCACTTGAGTGGGATATTAAATATGAAGATTCTGTTTTCAAGAGCTATAAAAGGTACAGAAAGAAACTAAAAGCCCTAAGGCACATATATTGTGCTGACATTTAAAACTCTCACAAAGATTTTATTTATTATACTTTTTAAAAAACAAAGAACCACAAATACACGTTCCATTTTGCAAGGTGAGATATATTCTCTCTATGACAATAAAAATGCAAGACGAAGATATTTTATGGATTGAAATCCCAATGAATCTAAAATTCGCAAATGATCTCTTTCAGAGGACCTCGGGACAATGGTTTAAAAACCTCTGGTGACCCCGTAATGATTCGTATCCACAAAGTGCTTAAAAACTGCTCAGCACGGCTGGTCTGTGATGCCAGCTGAAACTGCACACCGAAGCGGCCTTGCTGCACTGGCTGCGGCTGGAAAGCCTGCTTTGCCGGGGAATTCTGTTAAGTGCGTGCGAGCCAGCAGGGAGACAGGTGTTTCCTGTTCCCAGCCGCCTGGCATCACCGGGTAGATTAGCTGCAAGGCATGAAGCCAGAGGCTTGTTTTTCCTCTAAACCCTAATTCAATCTCACACTCCTCACGTGGAAATCGGCTTATGGTTGGAATTATAGTCTAGAAAATGTTCATCTATAATCAAGATGTATGCCTTCCTCCTTAGTCCTGATACACCAATATTGCGCAGTATCTCAGAATCATAAATACTAATTATTGGCATGTGGTTTTTTTTCTCATCCTCTCCTCGCAGGTCCTTGCCGATGTTGGTATTTTCTCTAGCATTGCCACCATCCCAGCTGGGACACTTTCTCATTAGGAAAGATGAGGAGAAGCTTCAGGATTACTGAGCCAGACAAGACCATTTTAAGCTCCTCTGAAGCTAGTGTTTACTGTTCAGGTGTTTAACTAGAATGAAAATATTAAATGCTGCTCTTGAAAAATGTGCAAACATCCTACTGGCACGTGCTCTCTGTTTAGCCGGGGTCATATATAAATTTTCGTTTGGGCCACGTTCCTCCAGGATTTTAACAGAACACTAAGTAAGAGGGAATGTTTTTGGGGGCCAGCGCTTGTAAGCGGCATCTGTATGTCTGCAGCTCTCATTCTGCAGGGACTTAAGTCTCCAAAAACACTCCGGAAAATCAAGCACTGCAGGGCACTTAGGAAAGAGAATTTCCAGATTTTATGTCACTGCCCTGCCACGTAGTATAATAAATCATCTGATTAGGTGCAAGAGAGGGACAGAATACAGGACGCTGGCTGAGTCATATCAGCGGATCACATTGTACAGCAGGGCCTGGAGTCCCCCGGAGGAGCGTGGGGCTCCTACGGATGGCCTTTGTGGAGGCTGAAAGATCCATTAGAGGCACAGGCTCTCAAAATAGCGGGCAGATTTTCCCTCCTTGCTATAAAGAACTAAAGCTCCATCATAGTCCTTTAATACCTTTCAGCACGCTAGAAAGGGCGCAGGCCCCAGGCTTAAATGTAGAGTGGAGGTAATCTGTGCCGTCCAGCGGCCCTGAAATAATGACTTCATGTCTAAGTCCCGGGAAGAGGTTTCAGTATTTTTCTTATTGCAAAAACACACTTCCGTGTCATTAGACATAGCTTAGTTTCTCAGTGGGCTTTATTTTTCTCAATGCTTCTTGTCGGTGTCTGTAACCCCCTCTACATAACCCCCCCCCCCCCGAAAGGTGAGTATTCAGAAAGGGAAGGGGTTTTGTCATTTCTTCCCTCTTTGCCTTTCTGCTGACTCCTCAGTTCCGTGGACACTAGCGGTCCTGGCTGAGGACCTGTGCACACCACACAGGTAGTAATTTCCGGGGCCGCAGGGGGCAGACATAAAGACTGCACATGGTGGTGGGACCTGCTCAGCCCTGGACAGATGCGTGCATATTCTGGCCCAAGGGAAGAGGATGGGAAAGGGAAAGATTTCTCAAAGCAGTGCCTTGCTGGTGTCTTTCAAAAAGGGGGGGGGGGGGAGAGATCATACCTCTAAGTTAAAAAGCAAAACTAAACCACAGTTATGTAATTTTGAAAGATTACTAAATCAGTATTGGCATTATTTTTTAAAACTTGGGACTTCAAAGAAATAACCAAAGAATTTCTTCTGACCTCATATTACATATATTCCATTAAAAATGCAATTTGTAAAACGTATTTCAAATGCTTATTCTCTGGAGAATACGGCTCGGTGCAGACGAGACACATGGTCTGTTTCAGCCGCGTGTGGCTCCTCTACATTTTTCCCTCATTTCTTCACATACAGGACAGGACTTCCAGATGAATAAAGATAAGCACTGTGTACTTTCCAGGACAAAATTATCTTTGGGCTTTGATCAAGCATGAGCTATTTCCACCCGGAGGAAAGCTATTTGAAGGTTACAATTGAATGTAAGTTCAGGAGTAACACTGCTTTTGTACTGTAAACATACTATGTGCTTGACATATATTTTCTACAGAAAATATTCAGGAATCTCTACTTGTTCTCTGATAATACATAGATTTGTGAACTTCATAAAATTGTGGTGTGGCAAAGACTTTAGAGATAGTGTAGTCTCATGGTCCCATTTCATGGATATGTACAACAAGGGTATGGGTGTTTTAGAGAGGGAGTTTATTCTAATTTTATTTAAGAAAAGCGCTTTCAGATTGAATGCCAGTTTCAGCCACCTACTGGTGCTTGTCTTCCAATTTCCTTGAGAAAGTCTGAGAAGTTGGGTTCAAGTTCAGCAGAAAGCGCTCAGTGATCGCATGAACCTGCCCCCCAAGGTACAGGACTGAGGGACTAGGACGCTCCTGCAGTTCTGGTGGGGGTCACTGACTGGAAAAGGAGCCCTGAACGTCAGTGAGACCTAGCAACAGGTCGTGCGACTCTCCTTTTTCTTAAGTTTAGTCTGACGTCTTAGCTTTCCGTTCCACAGTTCCCTCACCAGTGAGGCAGGGATTAGTTCCTTCCTGAGGAAATATTTATCCATCTAAACAGCTTTCTCGGGTGCTAGATCTGCTCTGAAGGAGCAGTGACGCTGTGTTCTAGGCTGGCTGACCTCTTTCCCAGGCCGGCTCTGACAGTCTACGTCTGCGGTGGTGGAAGGAAACCCACGGGGTTTGGAATGAACCAAGAAAGAAGCTGAATGTTGCAAAAAGCAGACGGAATGAAACTCTGAGGATTCTCACAAGCAGGGCTGTAAATACTGCCTGGGCTTGCGTGTTTAAACAGTGCTGTGATGCCAACAAAGAAAAAAGTACAAAAGAAAACACGTGGACAGAAGCACCCGTGAGAAATCTAGTTACACCATGAATAGCAGGTCTGCGGAGATTTCCCCAAGAGCAGGTAGAGCCCGTCAGAGGACCGTGTGGCTGCATTCAGGGTGGTGAAAACAGCACTTTTATGAGACTAGCAAGTCCTGTCTCTTAGTGAGCAAAAGTGTTGCAAAGCCAGCCCTGGGACGAGGGTGTGACAGTGGAAATTTCCTGTTAACAGTTTGGACCATGGGAAATACAACACTGACATCAAATTTGAAACTTCTCTGTCCACAAAGTTGTAGATGAAACGGAAAGCACAAACTGTGTGTTTCTAATTCTGTTGGCCGTGCCTTTGAGCAAAGATGTGCAGAGCCGAAGAGCTGGACTGTGGCTGGACAGAAGATCCTCTTCGTGGCTGGTTTGAGAATCTGATGTCTTCTAACCTAAATCCAGGGGTTTGGATGGTGCAAATTCTTTCCGTGATCAGTTTGTACTTCATGCTTTCCTGGGTTTAGGCTGTGGTGCTAGGCTGAGGTTGTCAAAAGCAGCTGTTGGAGCATTCTGAAGATGAATTTGTAAGATGACCAAAGGCAAAGGAAATATCTGTGGTTGAGATAGAGGAGTAAAAAATTTCCTCTCCAACTGAGAAGAAAGTGAAATAAGGGTTGGCCATGATCATGTGAGAAGAGCTGCTCAAGACTTGTAAATTCCACAAGAAGGACAAGTCTCAGAGCTGAAAGAATACTTAAAACATTACTGCTTATTTTAAGCACTTGTTTAAAACCCACTTGTTCGTGTTTGGCTTGGCAGGTGAAATTAATACCATAATGTGTCGCGTGAGACTCTCTGTTCTAGCCTATGTAAATATTTAAAAAGAATATGAACCATAATAAACGCTCATGACGAACCCACCATGCCAGGCACTGATAACTGCTCTCCACTGTTTTTGATGAGGAGGAATAACATGTTTATGACACCTGAGATTGTAGGAACACCCCGCACCCACATCATAGGAACGGGTGGAGAATGAACTGCTGGACCGAAGGCTGCACTGTCCCCCTATACGAACACATTGGAATTTCTAAAAGCCAGTTGACTTCTGTTACTAGTCTCCTGACAAACGGGTCCCTTGATCTGTTTTATTTCCACTCCTGAATCTCATTCATTGTTCTTTTTCTAACATTGCAATCCCCAGTAATTTCTTAATTTTCATAATAACACCCACATTATTGAGGGATATTGTTTCCTTCACTCATAGATGATCAACTGAGATTGTATGCTGATATCGGGAACTCACATAGATTGTGAGAGTAGAAAATACACACAACAATGCACCTGGGAATAACGCTCTGTCTTCTCATCTAGGACACCAGGTGGTTACACACGGCCTGTGTGACACTGTTGTTAAGCCGTGTGTAATGGCCGCCATTAAAATGCAGGAAGGCAGCATGGGTCGTCCTGTGACTACAGTTTCACCATCCCGTCAATGCAACGTGCCGGTAGGTGAATAAACAAGGTTCCGCTCCCATGTTTGGACCCGAAAGGTCTGAGTAGAGTGATGCAATTGGCTGAATGCGTTCCTGAGCAGGGGGAGAGATTTTAAACGGAAAAGATTTTAAATTTGAGCTAGATTCTCATAGGTTGGGGCTGTCACATTTTATCATGCTGGTTTGCTTCTCATTGGGAGGCCACGCGCTACTTCAGCTGGGAGGGCTTCTAGATGTTACTGGGGAGGGTCACAAGTCAACACCTCGGTGCCGTTTCCTTGATGGAGAGCACCGACCTGCCCGAGCGCAGGGGTGCCCTTTTGAATGTCTGTATGTTACCCAGGATGAAGGAGTGTGACCTGCAGAGCGTGTCAGACGCACTGTCCTGAGAGAAGGCTCACTGGAAGAGAGCCAGGTGCCGTGGATTTCAGGTCTGTGGCTGGAAGCTCTTATGAGCAAGCACCCTTATCCCGTGCGTCTTACTAATGGAGTGGAAACTTATAGAAAGCTTTCTTAGCTGTTTTGTTTAGCTTTGTTTTATAGTAGATAAAATCCAACATGAACTAAGAAAAAGAAAAAAAATACTCTTCTCTATATCTATTAATGCGATAAATGAAGTTAGATCCTTCTATAATTGATACCATACTGTGCATGCATGGTTTGGTTTTATAATTTCATTTTGAGCTAAATCAGAAACATGTGACCTTTGGATAATTAATGTAAATGTAAATATATACAGGAAATACTACTCATATTAATGCCAGCACTCTGAAATATTAACATTCTATTTTCCGTTGCAAGTTTTCTGTGCTGGAACCACCTGGCACATCTTTTCATTCAGAGTGTCATTAGTTTTAACCCATCACCTCCGTATTTGTTGAAACTGCAACATTCATTTTATTTCTGCACATAGATGTCAGCCACGTCTTCATGTGTGATGTCTTCTATTAACTGTGGTCACTCCCAAAGCTGAAGGAACATGTTGTGTCAACTTGAGAAATTTGGGTGCTTAACTAAGTAACTCAGCAGGTCTACCTTCTAGGGTGTAGAGGATATGTCCTTACTGATCTGAGATGTTCATTGTGTCAATTTGAGAAGATTAGAAGTTTAACTAAGTGATTCAGCAGGGAGCCAGAGCCCTCCTTTGTAAACGTCCCCATCCTATGTGAGAGGAGGCCCAGAGATGGCGTGAGGGCTACACCCAGCCAAGGGCAGGTAGCCTGCATGTGATATAAGGCAGGAAAGTACCTTGCTCTCCCTCCTTTTGTCTGCCTGCTTTTGATGTCTTCTGCCACCTTGAGGTGTTGTCCCGTGTCACACCCCTGCCTTGGAGTCAGCAGATCCTAGTGAAACTTCTATGCATGGTGAGCTACATAAACCTTTCCTTCCTTAACTTTGAGTGTTGGGAATTTTGTCTCAGCAATAAGAGAAAAGTAATCAAGACAACCTTCAAGAAAATCGTACTTGGTACCCCTGTTTCGTATTCAGTACAGGAGCTGCTAAAAAACTGCGTAACTCATGAAGTTCCCTTCAGTTTATGGCAAATATATGAGAGAAACCTAAAGCTGAATGTCTTGATTATATAAGAAACAATCAATTGTTTCATTGTACTATTCGATCTTTGAAGTTACATTAATCATCAAGCTATATTCTGAAAGACTAAAACCCTGAAGGTTAATAGTTAACTACTATGTTGATGAAATTATGCATTAGGGAAAACTTTTAGAAGATTCTTAAAGACAAAATTGAGGAATTCATCTTAAATTCATTCCAGAAATATGAATATTCTTAGCCTTGGAGCTTCATAAAATTCCACCATAGGCATCATCTCTGAAAATGTAAGATTTCTGCTAATTTTTACTGTATTCATAATGAAGTCACCGTATTGCTATTATAACTGACAAGGAACTTTAAACTCTGTTAAGACAAGTAGGATAGCAATGATATTTTTTATTCAGTGCAGGTTACATTAATTGTTGATAGAGGAATCAGACAGAGGCTGGTCTGATTCTGTCACTGTTTAACACAGTACTTTTATTCAATATTCTGTCAGTGCGACTGCACTAGATTTTAAATAGAATAGTGACAGGGTTGGTGCTCAGTGACTGAGGGAGTTCCACATACCAACTCTTTGCCATTAAAGTTAATAAAACTCTTTCTGTTCGTATTAACAATTCATTTCTCTTTTCAGAAAAACCAACAGAACACGAGTAATGTGCCCTAAGGCTCACACGTTATCCAATCAGCATTTCAAACGCAGATTGGAACATTCTCAGATTCCTGTGCTTTTCTACAATAACATGAGAGGTGATCAACATATATGGCTCCAAATTTAAAAATGCGTTAGTACAAAAGCTACATTACCACGTGTGTTTACAAGGTACCAATATCTATTGCTATATCTACCAATACCGCTGCCAAGTGCTACCCATCAGACAGAGAGGCAGCTTGCAAAATCCTGACACTGAGCCCTCATCTGCCTTATTCACGGGATCCGGCGCCGTGGGACTCCCGCTCTTCCCCAAAGTCACAACGACCCTGAAAGGGATCCTTTTGAACCGAGTGAGGACACTGAGGCGGTCGGGATAGCACAGCCAAAGACACTCATGAAAGATGACTTCCAGACTGCTTCAAAAGTAACAAATACAATGGGATTAAGGGATTTGAACTGAGGTGGAGGATTCTGAGAGAATTAATAGCAATGTGTCTTTTGCCATAATAGTTTTTTTTTACATTTCAGCATTAGCTATATTTTTAGACTGTATCTGTACTTCATCATTACTCCGTTTAAGAAAAGATAAAGTAAGAGAGGGCCAGGCAGTGTGGAATGAGGAGTCTGTTCAAGTATGCGCCATCAGGCTTAATCTACGAGCCAGACTCCCTTCGGTCTGTGCACTCAGCTCATCACAGCCGCCAAACGTCACATCAGATTCCCGAGCCTCCAGCTCTGAGTGCCAACTGGCTCCTGCATACGTGTGTGTCAGTTGTGATGACACCACAGCGTAGGGGGCCAGGGCCATGAGGAACGGCTACCTGGGCCTCGGGAAGCACAGCTGACGCACAGAGTACCCTGCTGTAGCACTGTGCCCAGCACTTTTTCTCACTTTTCTCTGGGAGTCGCATTTGGTCTCTAGGTTGGACGTGTGGCCATCTGCAGCTCTGTGCTCAGTTACTTCCAGCTCTGAAGTGCGAGAGCTGAACTCCCAGAGGTCAGTCTGAGCCGGACCGGTGCATTCCCCAGTGCTGGAAACTCCAGCTCAGGAGAATAAAGCAGCACAATTGACCCAACCGGGGTCCCTGCTCTGTCCCCAGTACTTGCAATGAGTAAGTCTCAACAATCTCTCTGTCATAAATACCCCAAAGACAACCTGCTAAGACAGAAACATGGGGGGGGGGGGGATATCCAAGCTCCTGATAAACGTCCTGTGTCTAATCTGCAACTCCTATTGTAATGTTAAAGCATGGAAATCTTCTAGGTACTCAGAAGATATTCGTGTGGTTCTGCAGGATTATTCAGACAGCACCACTATCTGCCGTCTTGCCCAGCTGTTCTAGGAGACTCACTAGAAGAACAGCGGTGCCCTGCCCGGTTGTAGTGACTGGGTGGAGGTTGAAGTTGGCCATTTGATTAATTTAAAGCATTGAATGAATTGTCAATTTAAAAAATTGATAGTTTAAAATCTTTAATTCCTCCTCGCTTCCAGAAATTTCTATTGACTGTTCATTGTGAGCGAGGCCTCAGTTCTAGTGCTAGAAACACAGCTGTTCTAATTCCCTGCTGCCAGTAAACTCCTGCTCTAGTTGGGGGGTTTGCTGAGTGTGTAAATGTGAGAGCCAGCACGAGGTGTAGGCAAGTACTACTAGAAAACACCGACGCCACGCCAGGCAGGGGACAAAGAGCTGTCACTGGATGGGCGGCCTCACACTGCCCTTCCCTGAGCATGGGTGTTGGAGCAAAACCTCCATAACAGAGAGCTCTGTACGGAATTAAGGCCAAGCTAACTCTGAGGAGAAGACCCCCAAGGATACACCTAAACCCAGAAAGCTGAAGAATTAGGAGGCTAAAGGGAGAACAGGTGGTTGGTGAAGGGCAGATGGGTTGGATCAGGGCAGAAGGTGATCAGGTCTTGGTTGTAATGATCCGGGACAGCTTCTGCATTAGGCCAGGGGTGCTGAGGATGAGGATCTCAGTGAAGGCGGGTGCCACCCGCTGCCTCAGTGATGGTAGTAATTGTTGTCCTTTGTCTACTGTGTAAACAACTTCCGGTGACCTCAAAGAATAGATAATGTTCTGTGAAAATCTCACATGTCATTGTGGTGAATTGATCTTGTTTTTCACAGAAGAACCATTACACCAGGGGAATAAAGTGATGAAGAGGAAACTTAAACTTCCTTTTATTTGGGAGATAATAGCAGTTAAGCAGAGCGAGTAGTATATTGGATTGCCATGGTAGACAGAAAGAGCCAGGGAGCTGATCCCTAGAAAGGTAAGAAGATCTGGCCTACAAATTAGAGACTGGAGAAGAGCAGGCCCCCAGACCAGAGGTAGAGCATGCTGTGTGAGCTCAGAAATGTTCCAGAAGGTCAGGGCGGCTGCGTGAAGGGCGACAGGTTTGTTACAGCCTTCGTCCTCGTTTGTTTGCTGTGGTTAAATGAGTAGAAGGAGCCTTAGAGAGGTTGGGGGCAACTACAGCCAAGGCAGAGGCCAGAAATAAAAGTCTCCAAAGCTCTAGGAAGGACCTCAGTTTATCTTTGGAGCCACGAGCAGGTCCGAGGGGCTTCTACAAGTGTGTGGATCATTTCCACTTCAGAGGCAGCTTGACAGTTGATAATTTTTGGCATAAATTTAGATTCTACAAATTTGGACCCTGAAAATGTGATCAGCCAGTGGATTTAGACTGACTTTTAAAGAATTCTTGATGCAAACTAATAGTGTTTATAAAATGGTGCGGAAAAGTGTAAAAAACCGAAAAGCTACTTACATGTAAAGGTCATTGTAAGCATGTGTTCTAATAGTACACCTCACTGTGGTGCATATGGATGTTGTTTTTCAACGCTGCTTTTTGAGACCAACAATCACTTTATTTACATCTATAAGTTTTATCATACCCTGCATATTTTCAGACTAGCAAGAATTTGTGTATTTAATTCTATTATTTGTGAAAGTGTAGAGTAAGATCTCCTTATTAGGAGTATTAATAGCTGCTCCTTGGTTTTATTATTTATTAGTTTTATTGACTAGTGAGTAATAAGCAGTTCTAATGTTCACTTCTCAGGAGAGATAGCTATCTATCAGCTCCATACCTATGGAGATACAAATGTGTACCAAAAATGAAAACAAGCTTTTCTAATAGATGGATTTTCCCAATCCAAGTTCTGATATATCACAGGTCCAAATTAATTAGGTTGGCCCCAAGTGGCTGTTGAAAGAATTGCATAAATTAAGACCTTTATAATGAGGATACAAAGAGAATCTAAAACCCGAGAAAACCTATTTCACTCTTGTGATGGCTGGGATGGAAATTTTTGCTCTGTATTTTCAAGCACATTCTCTCCCTTCAGGATTTCACCTCGATGAATCCACCTGTGGAGAATGAAAATTATTGAATCACCTCTAAGTTGCATGAATTGTCTCTGCATACACATTTAATGTAGTTTTATTTACTTAAAAGTTTAATTTACTTATAAGAAAACAGAGATCTTTGCTATCTTCACAACTCAGTGGCAGTGTTCATTTTTGTCTTGTTCAAACTCTAGGCAAATTCACACTGATAGTTTCAGATTTTTGAAGGGACATCAGATTGTAATTACTGCAATCTGAAGCGCTTGTAAGAAAACAATGTGTTTAAATTATGAAACATTTGCAAACTGGCATGTGTTCTCGTGAGACACATCAACGCTTTGACGTCAGCGGCTTAACCACAGCTAGCGTGTTTTCTCTTGGATTTGTCAAGAGACCCCTTGATGGTCTGTTTTATGATCTTCAGAACCTTAGCCGGTCTTGGGAAATGTTTCTATCATTCTATCTCCACACGGTATTTTTGGTTTATATTGCTTTTTACAACACATTGCCAAGTATAAAGAGCCCAAGTACATTACGAGGGAATAACTAAGAAAAACGTTTGCTAATCAGAGAATCTTCATGACATAACAATAAAGTGGTCCAGAATATGTTCATGTCTCACAAGAGATAGATGAAATATCAGAAGAATTCAAGGATGCACCACAGTAAGAAGAGTACGCTGGCTCTTTCCCTTTGGACGAACCGAAGTTCATCTGTGCTAATGTAAGGCCTCCGTCTTCCCACCTCTCAGGCCCAGTAGTCAGACTCCTGTGGTTCCCCCCGGACCAGAAGCCAGTACCATTGGCTTTCTCTTGAATGCGTAGTGGGACCCACTACCCTTCCTCGCCCTCTGGGCTGCCATTTGGATGCAAGCTAGGATCATCTCTGGCCCGAATCAGTGCAAGAGGACTGCAGTTCACAGCTCCACACTCACCTGGACGGCGAACTCCTGCACAGCCTTCAGGTATCGTGCTCAATAAGTTCCCTTTCAAATTTAAACTTCCCCAAAGCGTCACCTTACAGAGAGTGAAACCCCAAGTCCCTGCAGTGACGTTTGGGTTAATGTGTGATGAAATCAGTGCTTGCCGTTTCTCTAACTTTATCCCGCTTTAGAACTCAGACGTGCTCCCTCGGCCTCAGCTATGCCCCTGGCAGTGTCCGGCCTTAGCGGCTCCTGGCTCTGTGGAGGATGCTTTCCCCACCACGGCTGGGTCATCTCCTGCCTTCTCCTGCAAGTGTGTTAGCAAATCCTACCCTTCTCTTCTTGGTGGTGAATGTGGTCCCTCAGGAATGGAAGGATGACCAAAGGTGGAGGGATTGTAAATAAGTTTGTCCTAAACCTGGTTCTATCCTCAAATGGTAAGATTTGACCTAACCTGGACTCCAGACATGTGGCTTACATGATATTCCACATATCAGCCGGTCATCACATTTAGCCCGAGAATGTTGCCGAGGGACTGAGCCTCAGGCAGCCTCGGGCCCACGGCTGCCCAAACAAGGTGAATGATGAACTGTGCCAATCAATTAATCTTTGCAAATCATTCCTTGTTTGTTTGGTTTGGGGGTCTCATCACCTCCTGACTCACCATGTTACACGTAGGGATGTTCTGAGCTATCACTGGAGTTGAAATCCTCTTCTATGTTTTGCTCAAATAAAGCTTGTTAATGAACTTTTAAAAAAGAATGGGAAGAATTGAGGCAATGAAAAGGGATGGTGAAGTGCCTGGAGGCCAGCAGCGACAGGAATCCACCATGCTCTCGGGGAGACCAGATGCTGTCTGATCAGGTGAGCTGGGGTTCTGCTGGAGAGGTTACCTGGCTGGAGCTGGTTACTATAGATAGGGAGCCAGAAATGCTGAGAGAGAGAGAGAGAGAGAGAGAGAGAGAGAGAGAGAGAGAGAGAGAGACAGAGACAGAGAGACAGACACAGACGCAAACAGACAGACAGATCGACAGCAAGGAGAATAATGCATGCTCTGGAATCGATGTCATTCCATTGTATGACTGCTAGTGGGGCCTCCTGTTGGCTAAACTCTGAGGAAGCAGCAAGGGAAGGAGCCCAGGAGGAAAAGAGAAAGTCAGAATAGTCCCCAAGCCCCAGCCTTCCCCAGCCCTCCAACCCCCAGCATCTGCTCTCTTCTAATAAGCACCTTTCTGAGACATGATCACCATGAAACTGACCATCCTAAGGGTGCATGAATTCTCATCTGCAAAGACAAGCAGGAGGAATGGAGCCAAGCCTGGAGACGTAGGCAGGGATGCACCTTGCTTCAGAGCCAGGCCAGCCCTTCCTTCTCCCATCGTGTCATGGTCCACTGGAGCCCTGGCTATCTTGCCGGCTCATTGCATGGACATCGTGCCCTGCAGTCACAGTGCAGCCAATGGGCTTCTCTTTTCTCTACGTCACATCCAGCAGACACTCTTCCATCTTCTGGTGCAAGACAATTACTGCCACTTGTTTTTGGAGATGGTAGCTGAAAAGACACCGATGTTTCACTGCCTGTCTGTTGTGGGCTGACTCCTTCCAACTATGTCAAGGAGACCAGCTGTGAGCAGCTCCACAGCTGGGTCATCTTTAAGAAAACGCAGTGTGTGATTCTCTCCCCCAATTCTACCCGACCTGATGGATTGCCCAGGGAAGTGGGGGGAATGACCAGTTCTTCATTTCTCAGGACCTGGATGAGCTTGTGTTCATCTCTTTCTCCCAGAGCTGTGTTGCCTTGAACATATTTGTTCCATAGACAAGAGCCTTCACTCAGGCATTCACGGGCATCTCCTGTAGTTCAGTTTTCATTAGGATCACAGGCCAAACCACTGTCCACTTCACTCCCAGCTGCCTGAGCTATCATCTTGAGTTTCTCCAAAATTCTGCTAAAATCAGTGGACATTTCATCTGCTCTGGTCAAATACTCTTGTCAACACTTTGTACCAAAGTTGCTACAACTCCTGGCACTGCACACAGGGAAGATGCTTTGTGCTGATGCTGCCTCATCCTTGGAGCAGATTCTGGCCTTTTCCCTCGGGCTGCTCTGAGCTGTCCATCTCCTAGTTGTCCGGGGGCCAGAGGAACCACGTGCGTGACAGCAAGAGTGTGCAGCTCCTCACTGCTGGTGACATTATTCAAAGCTTTGCATACAAAAGCAACGGCTTGCTGTGGGGAACAGTGGGACAATGCAGGCAGTTCTGGAAGGGAGGGAGTGCTGAGGAGGGTCTGGAGTCCTCTGCAGTGCAGCGTGTTGGTCTCTGTGTGCCCACGTCGCTGCACCCATCTCAGAGTGCTGCTCCTACGGAGCCCAGGTCTCTCCCTCAGCGGAAGAGATGGGAGGTTTTGCATATTTAACTGGAATTGCCTTTCTTTGATTGTAAGACTCGGTCTTGGTCTTGGGATGGATCTTCTGCCGTGTCTTCTCTGTGATTAAAAAAAGACACTTCCTGTTCAACACCTAGAGAGCCAGTCGATTGTCTGGCTTACCTTGAGTTTTCCATTTCCATGTACTTCCTCATGCATGTTATCAGTCCAGTCCGAAACTGCTAGCTCACGGAGGTTTTTATCATTACGGTGAAAGCCTCCATTCCCAGGAGCGGGGCAGACATCTGAGCTTCCCACACTTTGCAGCCACAGCCAGTGAGAAGTTAAGCAGCGCTGATACATGGCTTGCCACACTCTGCATCCGGCCAATGTAGAGGAAGAGTTCCCAGACCAGTTCAGAGCGGCTCTTCCTTGGGGTCAAATTTGGCAAGCAGGTGAGGGGAAGACCTACACAGGACACCATGCTGAAGTGTGTATTTCGGCTTTTGCATAGGTGCGAGTGGTCTGCAGGGAAGCAACAGGGAACAGAAACGCTCAGGAGGAGGCTCACTGAGGGGAACCTTAAAGCCTGCAGGCCCTGCAGCGGGGCAGCGGGAAGCCTGAGGAGACTCTTGTCAGCACAGCTGTCGGAAGTTGCGTAGGGTAGAGGTGGCTGGGACGTTGACCACAGCCACTTCGAAACCATGGGCAGTGGTGGGCCATTGCGGGAAAGAGACAGACCTCTCTTACTTCTGACCTCATGCTGGCAATTTCTGGTTTCCAAACTCAACTCCTACCCAAAGGACAAGAAAGTCCAGTTAATAAGGCAAACAGGATGATCACCTTCCTAGGGTCACAGAGCAGAACATGGAGCAAAAAGCGAAAGTAACCGCACATCTGGTCGCTCACTCACATGCTAACTCTCTTCCACATCGAACCAGGGCACCGAGCTTAAAACAGCTGTCTCTTCATACATGTACCATTGCTTTTACATGAAACCAGGGAGGCTCCTTCCTCCAGCATTCTGATGCACCAGCACCCTGCGGGCCACTGCACACCCCAGCTTCTTAGTCCTAGGCATCCCTAGCTTGGTGTCCAGGCACCCCCTTCCATCCTGTTCTCTCCTGGTCTCTGTAACCAGCACTCTAGGCTCAGCGTCTGTGAGCCCAAGTCTTAGATTCCACATGAGCTCACAGAGGCCCTGGTGTCTGCGCACCTCCGCGCCTGGCTTCTTTCATCCCATCCGCTGTCCACTGTCAGCTGTCCACGTGCACCACATGCTCGGCCCTCATCAGGTGATGCGTCCCTGGCTCGTTTTCATTTCTCGGTTACTTGGGCAGTGATCAGCATCAGAGCACAGCTGTCCCTCACATACTGACTTGATCTCCGGGATTCTGGGCAATCCTGTTTAATTCTGAGAAAAGTCCCCATTTTCCGTGGTAGCCGTAGTAATTTGCATTTTCACCCATAGAAGACAAGTGGTGTCTTTCCTCTATCTGTTCCCTAGCATTTCTTACCCTTAGTTTTATTATTAATAGCTTTTCTTACTGGATCAAAACATCAGAATACCTCCCAGGAATATGTATAGTTTTGTGTTATGTATCAGTTACAATTTAAAACAAGGTCATATATATATATATTCAATCTATTGCTAAATTGGGTTTTGGTAAATAATGTAGTAAAGACAATTTCCTTTGTCATTAAATCTGCGATACATGTTTATTCTATTATTTACTTCAAGGTGTTCCATTTTTAAATAATTAGTTTTATTACATTATGCAATTATTCTTTCACACATAATTAATACCTTTTGGAGATACTGGACTCTTTTCTATTTTAAAATGTTCATAGGCAGGGCTGGAATGAACCTATCTATTCAGATATTCCTTTATATAATTTTCTGGGGATGAGATTCCATACACGATTTCCTTACTGGAAGTGGTCCTAGTTCTGGAGAGTTGTCCCCCTCCGGGAATGGGGTAACAATGTACACAGCACCCACATGGCACAGGACTGGGTGTTTCTCCATGCAGGGACCAAGGCTTGCCCAAGGATTTTTGTTAAAGCCTTATTAGTCCAATAGGAAGGGCAGCGGAACATTATTGGCTTCCTATAAATTTCTGATTCAAATGAGGGGTGGGGAGAGACTCCGAGGGTAGAGGTAATGCATAAACGCTGCAGAAACACAGCCAGTGTCTTCGGTCCCGGGACGAGGAACAAAGTCAAGCGTAGCCCAAGGGACATGGCAGGTCAGGGTCAGCAGCCTCCGCGCGTCCCTCTCAGCGGCCGGGCCCTGTCCATGGCAGAGACCGCGGTGCCCTCACCGTGCTGCAGCCTTCCCTGCCACCTCTGTCCTTCTTGGTGTTCTGGACCCAGATTTTTCAGTGTAACATTCAGGTTCTTGGGTGTAACTTGTTCGCTGCTCAGGTTGGTTTAAAGCAGGGTCACTTATTTCCAAGTTGCACGATTTTCCGCCCCACCGCTCTGCAGCCGGGCTGCCCCTGCCCTGGGCTCGCATGTGGGTTTCTCTGGCTGGAGCCAGCGGGTTGGAGATCCCTGCACCCAGCGCTGGGCTGAGGGCTCCGAGGGGGCCGCTGCTTCGGTGTGCTGGACCTTTCACTCTGTGAAGTTTGGAAGCCTGTGCTGCAGAAACATTGTAGCAATTCCCACAGCACCTGAGCTGGTCGGTCCCTCAGGGCTACCAGATGCCCAGAATGAAGGAAGGAAAGGTTTATTTAGCATACAGTTTGTGGAGGTTTAGTCCATAATCAGCTGGCTCCAAGGCAGGGTGGCGTTGCACGGGGCCAACACTTCAAGGCAGCAGCCAGAGCTAAATGGGTGGGGGGAGCAAGCCGATTTTCCTCTCTTAGGTTGTAAGCAGGCTACCCCCTCCACCCTAAGGCGAGAGCAGCATGCCTGCCATCTCTACTGCACAGGCTGGGGATGTTTACTAAGTAAGGCTCCTGGCCCCCTGCTGAGTCTCTCATTTATACTTCTCAAGGTGACACACTGTATCAAATGTATCAACCATAACAATCCACTCCATGTCAGCTTGGCAACCAGACACCTTTTAAAAACTGATTTCCAGATACAAAGACATGGTGGTTTTTTTTTTTTTTTTTTTTTTTTTTTTTTTTTTTTTTACCATTTTGCAACTTGAACATTATTACACGGGTTTAACAATCCTTAGGAACCAGCATTATGTCTGTTAAAATTATATTACATTAGGAACCACATTTTGTCCTTGGACCCCCAAAGACTCATGCACATCCATTTATGCAAAAGGCATTTAGTCCATCTGCAAGAGTCGCCAAAGTCCTAACAGTTTCAGCACTGCTTAAGAGTCCAAGTCCCGAGGCTCCTCCAAGGTTGAAAGCAAACTCTTAGCTGTAACCCCATGTACAAATGAAAACAAAGTCAAACACTTCCAACATGCAGTGGCACCAGAGAAAACATTCCCATTCTGAAAGATACAAACAGGGATATAAAGGTTTGGGACCAAAGCAAATCAAAAATCCAGCAGGGCAAACGTTAAACCCTGTAGTTGCACAGTCAGCATCTGAAGCAAACCAGAACCCTGGGCCTCTTCTTCAACCCGCCCTCACCTGGGGTTTTGCTCTGCTCCTATCAACAGCAGAACTTTTCATCCTGTTTTTTGGGGTGATGCTGTGTTTCAGAAGCATTCTAATTTTTTTTTTTAAGTAGATGTTTTTCAGAATCATTTTCTCTTTACTTCCGCAGGTCTGTAATCGCACACGGCCCATTGTTATTTCAGTGGGACAGGAAAAACAGTACCACTCTTGATCAAAAGGGCCTCGGGAAAGACAGGATTAAAATTCAGGAAAACACGAAATGAAGAAGCAGATGAATGGATCTGACTGACCATAACAAGACTGGCAGGCCGTGAGCAGCTGTGAGCACAAGAACAGGTAATTTTCAAACAGAGCTTTTATTTATTTATTTTCTCCCCTGCTTTTATAGAAAGTAATGTGTGTGCACCTTGGCAAAAATTTAAAAAAATATATACATAAAAGTGAGAGTAAAAAATTGTGCCACCTAGAAAACGTCTTATAATGTGGGGTTATTCTATCCACAGGAAACCTGGGCAGGACATCATATTTAAGTATCTAATCCACATATTACCATATTTTAAGCTACTTGACAGATGATTGAGGCTTTGACGCTGTATTTATTATGTGTGATTTAATTTTTTCCAGTTATTACCTGAGGGCGTATATCTCAAAATGAACTCATGTCCCCAAAGAGCATCAGCATTTTACATCTGCTGAGAACAATTGCTAAATTTCCTCTGTGAAAGCTGTCAAGTGCTTGATAATCACCGGGGAAGGAACTTCTGCTGTTTTAAAGCCACCCAGCTTGTGATCATTCGTCACGGCAGCCTTTGGAGAAAAGCATGCAGTATCTTCATCCAAAACCAGAAGGTGCTCACTGTGCAGGGTGGCGAGAAGAACCTCTCGGGCCCCAGCAACGTGTTTCTCCTCTCAGTGTGGGTGCTGCGTGACCTCTGCTCTGTAATTCGTGATAACCGCGTGGCTCTGACGTCTTTCTTATGGTGGATTTTTCTCCTAGGTACCAGGGGTAAATTGAGGTCTGGCTCCTTCTCCAAAGCATACGCTACTGACTTTTCCATTCTAGTTTTACCTTCTCTCTTTTTCCAGAATAAAGATGAAGCTTCAGGGTTTCTTGTCTTCTTTCTTTACAGTTCATTCAGGATAGGACAACATGTAAAACATGTCCACTTCACCTTAATGCTTTCAGTCAGAGGAGCTTGTTCACCCCTCGATTAAAAGCACAATAGTTCTGGTTTTCTAAATGACTGCAGAACTAGAGGGCATTTTTTTACCTTTTTGGCTTTGCTAGAACATTGTGTTTTTACCCCAGCAGGTTCCGCTATTGTTGGTGTTTTGCTTCTTTTACATTATAGACTCTGTCTTTACAAAAAGAAGGAATTGTGCAGGATAAATATGGGTTTAAAATGCTCAGCTAACTTCCGTCCATCTGTAAAGTGTTTGCCCCCTCCTAGAATTCGTGTTCCGTAGCTGGGCTTTCTTTTTTTAGAAACAGTGATGTTTGTCCCATGTGTCAGTGGCATCGTGGCTGGGTATCGGATCCTGCACCTAGAGTCATGTTGTGTAGCTCAGGCGGCCAAACAGACTTTTCCCTGAGTGGTTCCAAGTCCTCCGCTCTCCAGCTCCTACCCTGGGCGGCCTGGCCGTGAGCCCCAGTGCAGTGTCCCCCTCATACTGTGCCATCATGCCAAGTCACACTGGGATTTCATCTACTCTTCAGGTTCTTAGAAATCCTAGTGATTTCTGGCACTTAAGACGTTCTCCTTTTAGTTTTGAGCATAATAGAATGTGATCCTTCTCATGTCTAAGTATCTGGCATGTACAGCCGAATATTCACACATTATAAGCATATAAATCGGCCAATCATGACTAAGAAATTTTGGAGAGAGGAGAGGGAGACACTGTGTATATTCATTTACCATCTAAAGCAAATTTCATTTTTGTTACATGACATCCAACAGAATTTTCTCTTTAAAATCTTGAAAAGAAAACTAACAACTAGCAGTGTTCTGTTGTTGGATTTGTAAATGTTTTACATTATATACTCTATTTTTAGAAAAAGAGTAAATTGTGTAGCATTAAGATGTTCTAAAATATTTCAAATAATTTTTAAAGTGTCTGCCTCAGCCTAATTAGGAGTACTATAGTTTTGTCCAGGGCATATAATAATGTAAAAACAACAACAACAAAAAAAAAAACATTTTAATGCTCCTTTCTCTACTCAGCTGAGGACTGTAACATTGGAATTGATGATTGCCTAGTAGAATCCCAAACACCCAGTGGTAAGTGGTACATTTTACTTACCTATTTTTGATTAAGTCTACCTCAAGATTCAAACTGTAATCCACTAATTATGTTTTGTACAACTACTTTTTGTCAAAAGTGCATTGCTTTGTAAAATCTGTGACCTTAAGGAACTCATGAGAGGGAAGGGATGAGGGAGAGCCGTCCCATGGCTGGACACAGAGTCTTTCACTAGGGCTAGGCTGGTGGTGCAGGGAGCTGCTCGGCTCCTGAGTGTGACACACAGCTCTGCACACCCAGTGACTCTGCATGGTCAAGTCTTGGTCTTGGCTCACTGCACAGTCTGTCATGGCTGAGGCAAGTGGTGGCTCCTTCGTGTCACTCTGCCATCTCGGTCACCCTGTCCCCACGATCACATTGCAATTGAGCCTGCTGAGGACAGAAACACAAGCCTAGCAAAGGCAAGCATTAATTCCAGCCAGAATCCAACAACGGGGAGCTGCTGTGTGATCTCAACACCAGATGATACAGAGAGCTCTTCCTGGACCTCATCACAGACCAGGAAGTCTATGTTTGTAATCCCATGGAAAAGTTACCGGGATTCCAATAATTCCAATCTACCACTCCCAGTGCAACTCACAGCAACAATAAAGACTCTAAGACATATTTGAAGTTACGGGGAGCCAAGGGGTCTTAAGTCCAGCCAGGATGAAGGTTCATCCGAACAAAGGCCTCCACCCAGGGCCCAGCCCAGATTTTACTAATTTGTGAAGCAGGGAGTGGTTTGTGGATGAGTGACTGAGAGAATGGCGGGAAATACTGGAGTGCTGTTAGCTGGGCTCGGAGGCCTGACAGCAGCTCTGCGACAGGCAGAGAGAAGGATGTGCAGGAAGACCAGTCTGCACTACACAGCAGAGGGTGCAGCTAATGTTTTAGGTCAGTGCTTCAGTTCCGAGGTGCAGACTTGTCTGCCCTGGGAAGTCACAGCTTCTTATCTTGATCCCAGTTGACAGCTCTGGAGCCATGGTTCTTCAGCCTGCATGGCTTAGCCATGGTTTTGGGAGTCATGGGGTAGGGAAACAGCGACTGTCACCCCACCTGGCCTCAAAGATTATGCATCAGCACTTCAGCCAGCCTTCTTTACATTGCTTAGAGGCCACTGAAGGGATCAGGAAAAGTACCAGCCAGCTCTGGGCATGTCTGTGCATGGAGACAGAGCTAGGGTTAGCCACAGTGGGGAGACTGCTCTCTGTTCAAGGAGAATCATCCAGGTGGTCCTCTCCAAGGGAGGCCGGAAATACAGTCTTCTTGGGTTCTTAGCAAGACACATAGGAGTCGTTATTGGGCAGTGCCCTGAATGAAGCTGGAAAGACACTCAGGAGACACTAACAGCAAAATCACTTTATCGTTGTGTGCACAGTTTCTCCTTGGTAGGAATGGTAAACTACAGTAAAGTTCTTTAAGTCCATACACTGAGAAATATAAAACAATAGGAGTTCATAAATAATACATGGTTAGAAAAACAAAGACTGAAACTATCATATTTTGAGTCCTGTCTTGTTGGAAAGAAAACCAAGACCCTGAAAGAATCAGCATTCTCTTTCACTAACACAGGTTTGTAAGACAAAGGAAACGATAATCTCACATTGCCGTTCCTTAAGGGTTACGTGGCTTCTAAGTGTTACCTTCTTGGAAGTTGCTGATGTTGTTTATTATCAATTTTACAAATTTTATGCAATTATGATTTTCAGATTTATACACACTTTTAACGTGAGAGCAAAATCACCTGATGGCTGCATCACAAGAAGCTCACACGAAGCCTTTGCATGCAGAAGCTTCTGTGCTCAAACTCAACCCTGGCAGACACACTTTTATCTTCACGGTCGCCTGCCACGTCTAAGTGGATTCCAGGTCCTAATTAGCTCAGCAGTGCTCTTGGATTTGAAACTGCGCCTGATTCCCACACCTGCAGGGACAGTCTACATCCTTGTTGCCCAGGGGTCATCCTTGTCTTCACTGTGCTTTTCCTTGCTGACTGATACATTATTTTAACACCCGTAGTTATCCGGACCAATGCCACGCCCTCTCTCCAACCCAACATGACTCACTGTTGACTCTATTTGCTGGATTTGCCCCACCAAACCGGGTTACACTGAAACCAAGCAAAGTCCAACCTGTGTCAAGTGCATCCTTTGTTAGTGCAGCACTTGGGTGCTGTCTTCGGACTTGGTCAGTAGGTTTCTCTAGGTCAACTTTCCAACTAGGTTGATACAAACTTCCATCAAAACTGCTAGCAGTTAATCCTAACCCTTCTGACTCAGATTTTCTTCTTTCCACAGATCTGCTTGTAAACTTTAACAGACACTTTGATAGCCCGAAAGCAACCCACAGCACTGAATAAGCAGAAGCATGAATCAGAGTGATGTCCTAGTCTAAGATGATCATAATCCAACTGATGTGCTGGATTAGTTAAGTACAATACAACACTATAGTTGCTACAATGACACTGGACCAAAGTGATACTAATCCACCCAGTAATAAAATACTGAGTAATTTGTCAAATTAGCAAATACTTAAATGTCTCGTCATCCTACTACAGAGTCTTTGGAAAGTACTTTTCACTTGTACCTAATGCCTTTCTCCTACACTGTCCTGAGGCTTCCAGGCTGCAAGCACATGCTGAGAGACATAGCTGGAGGTTTTCTTGTCTACTGTCTCCTGCAACTCCTACTGAGACCGACAGAGCTGCATGTTCACTTTTAAAGATGAAGGTCGACAGACCTTAGGGACCGATTCTCCACTCCTGCTCAAAAGAGAAGGCAGCACTAGAATTGTAAATGTTGCTGCTAGTGACTTGTATCTTGCTACAAAACTACAGCATGAAATCTGGGCGAGACAGTGAAATTGAATCATAGAGCAAGAGTGAAAAATAATGCAAGGTAAAATATTTGGGGAACTTAAAACAGTAAGTGGGTTCAAAGACAGTTCATAGAGAAGCTAAAACTTCTAACACAGCATTGCTTCACAAAATTCAGTGACAGAAAAATTGTGAGCTGCAGGCAGTGGTCAGTAACGTTAGACTCCCAGGGCCAGGGAAAGAGTAGCTAACATTTACTGATCACTTATTTTTGCTTACTCTGTCCTGATTTGAAAACTACACTATACTTATTAATGAAACCACTCTGAAATTGTGATAAATAGGGGTGTGCATTATCCACTAATTAACTTGTGAGAAACACACCTCACTGAAAAATACTAAAATCTAGAAAGCTGCGATAACTGTTCAAAAATTTACTATTTTCTCATGCTTATCAAGTTACATACCAGAATTGAAGGTATGTCTTTTGCACTCTCAGTCATGTGAAAAAACACATGACAAAGTCACTTAAAGAAGTGAGATTGATTTTAGGCTCACATTTCAGAGGCTGGAGTGCATGGTTGCTGGGCCATTGCCGTGTGTCAGAGGTGGGACAGAACATCACACTGCAAGGCAGAGGGCATCCAGGAAGCGACAGGTGGGCTGGGGATGGGTCCAGGGATAGATGTGCCTCTCAAGGGCTTGACCCCCAATGTGCCTGCCAAGGGCAGGCCCCCAGGGAGGAGCTTCTTCCTGCTATACCCAGTCCCCCATAGCATCGCCAGCTGGGAGAAAACACTCAGAGTCTGAGCTTCTGGGGGTCACTCCAGAACTGAGCCGTAGATGACAGTCCTCAGGGTGAAGGTGCCACATGCTCTCCACTCAGCTTACAATGGAGGCGACTGACCCGCTATGATGCACAGAGCATAGGATCCATGTAATACTCATTCACTTCAAAGGTATCTCCACACACCAGCTGGTGTTTCCCATCTCTGAGCTCTG